CCAATACCAAAGAAGAGTCAGGAGAGCCGAGTGACGGCCCAGAAGATGAGCTTGATGGCGAAGATGGAGAAAATAATACGGGAGTATCTGCGAGAACGCCTGCAGTGGCACGTGGCAGCGATATTTCCCTTATAGACACGACATCAGAGGGGGTGTCTTCTCTGCACCTGAGTTGCATACGACTGCAAGTCACGTGTGGTCGATGTAAAACTCCAGCAGATATGCGTGTTTCGCTGCCAAAAGATGGAGCAGCCTTGGATGCTGCGGGCAAGTGATGCAAAAGTGTAGCTAATTAACAGTGCTTCCTTTAACTACTTGCTTCTCTTTCCTTCATGTATTCACAAGTTAAGTCATGCTGCCCACAGTCGCAGTGGACTTTTACGAAGTGACAGTCTGTGACGTCTTTCTGTCTTAGAAAGCCTGAATCCGCCGAACTGTTTCGTTCTAGTTTACAGAGTACGCGGGCGCTACGTGGTGATACGTATGAAGGTGTGTAACTGCTTGCTTTGCAGGCTGCTCGGTTACCTGTGCAAAGTGCCAACTGCGTATGGGCATAAAGGTACAGCCATTGATTGGCGTTACGGGGAGCTCCTTAATGCGGGTGGCCGTCGTGGAAGAAATTGATTGTCATCTCAAGGATTTGATGCCTTGTGATTTCGTATTAACCTGCGATTGTTGTGGCGCTAGCATGAAGGCGCGAGAGCTGCAAAGCGGTATGTCAGTGGCAAACTAGAACTACAAGTGGTCCCGTGAAGCTCGATGTAGTGGCAAATATTGCTAGTCATGTAGCGTAGAATGCTTCCTGCAATTCATAATCACCTAAAATCGTGATTAGTAGTTTTTTTGAGCTCCACGCTTTTTGAAGCAGCAGGTGCACACAAACAACTTCTAAGTCGAACATATTCCACAGGCTCGCCACGGACAAATCACTGCCGGCACTGCCACTCGAAAATTGCCTTTGGATTTCAAGGTGCTGCTCTTGGGCATGCAGTTGTCTGCGGTTTAGGCGCAGAGGGCTCCAAGTAGGTTAGTATTGCGGGTACTCCTGAGCAATTTTTCTGCGTGACTAGTGAGCGGTGCAACAATATGCCGAATTCACGCAACAGGGCAGTCGTAAAAGCGCGTGCATTCCTGCCTGACAGCTTGCTGGTAAGCGAATGATCCAGCAGGCGCGCCTACTTGCATGTTGTCCTTTCTCGGTCAGAAGCCGTCCAACTCCCAGTTTTCACCAACGACAGAGGAAACAGGACCTCCGGATCGTTGTCGGAACCCCCCTTGCAGATTATGGGACATGCAAACACTACAAGAAGTCATTTCGGTGGCTTCGCTTTCCATGCTGTGGCAAGGCAAGCTGTTCCCTGTTGCGTTAACCTGCGAGCTGTGGCGGACAAGGAATGTGTTGCCGTTTATTACTATAGATTGGGGAAAGCAGTGTTTCTTTGTCCTGCGGCTAATTATAGTTGCGGCCCGTGTGTTCTTTTGCGCAGGCATACCCTTGTGATATCTGCCACGACAACAATGAAGACCACGAGCACGAATGGGCAACGCGCATGATTTGCGGTTTTTGTTCCGTTGAACAAGCATTTGCAAATGGAAAGCCTTGTTCTTGCGGAAAGGCACTGACGAAGGGAGGCGCTTCAGCTCACTGGGAGGCAAGCCATTGTTCAGTCGGATATATGTCCCTCAGTGTTTTGTTTTATGATACTAACGTAAACAGCAGGTTGCAGGTTGTAAGTGTTGTGTTTTCAGTATTTACTGTTGCGGATTTAGGGAGGCAAAGGGTGTAGAGACAGGACACGGATGAGCCGAAAAGATTCGAGAAAGTACAAAGGCCTGAGCAAGTAGTGGGTGAAGTCATAAAATCCGGCTAATGATGTGGGTGCATGGCGCATTAACGGATCAGATATAACATTCAACTCGACTACTTCGAAGGCTATGGTGGCGCTGATTCTGGTGGATGTCACAATTTTCGTAAATCGAAGCACATCCAGTGCATCAATTTTCCTTTAACAGTAGAAAACAATTGGCAGTGTTCACAGTTGAGCTATTTTTAGGCTGTTGTATGCTCCATACTTCTTGCATTTTAGAACACAGTTTTATCTCTCATCGAAGAGTCACGTTATGGATATTCCACAGTTCTTCATCGCGTGGATGCATCGGAATCACATAGTTTCACATGTGAGTCTGCGTGGAACATTCATAGTGGTCATGAAGTGCGTAAGATAGTGGTGCTCATCAGAGAGCAAACGACGTACTATCATATGATGCAGCAACAGTTGTGACTTCTCTTACCACTAAGTCTTTGCCCGTGCTCGCGCCTGTATTGAGCTCAGGGTTCATGTCTGTCAGCTTAGTAACGGTCTCCGAGGCCTACAGTCGCCGAGTGGGTTTGCGTGACTTTGACGCAATTTGCCATCCTGACAGCGCAAAACAAATCGTGTGCACAGTTGACAGACTATGTACAACGCTACCATTAAGAAAATATCGCTGAGCACGTTCAGAACTTCGTTCTTTCACAGCGTAGCCTCAGATACAGCTTCCCAAATGTTGCGACGATTGTGTCGCATGGAACACAAGTTCTGTGCAGGAAAGGTGAATGTTTTAGGTTGCGATGAGAACTGTGGTCTCTTAAAGGTCGGCTAGAAAAAATCCATTGAAAGCCTTCTAGGATCCCAAAGACAGCCCTGACACAACGAAGAACACTGGTTGGCTTCGTTCACTGTGTCAGGCCCGCTGGCGCGGCATAAGCCGTGCACGAATAGGCAACGGTCAAAGGAAGCTGCTTATTTCTCACTTCTCAAAACACGCTGCTAGCTAGAGTCACTGACGTTAGAGGAGATACTGTCATTTTTTTTGCGTTAAGTCACATGGTGGGTGAAGGGACATATGGTCGATTTGGAGTACAGTCCAGTTCCCACAGCAAGCAACTCTCCTACGATCCTACCAGCATCAGTTTGTCAGAAGTACTTAGATATGCTCCTCCACTGTTGGCAATTGTCCACTCAGCTCCGGCTCCGCGAGACAATGCAGCTTGTGGCCGCCGCTTGTAAGTATCATGACGTAGCGGGCATAAAGTTCATACACTTCTACCAGTAAGCTGGCAGTGAACTATTCTCAACAAAGAATTCTGCGTTGAGCTTGGTTCATAAGCGTGCCTCACTAGGGCGAAGACTGCCTGCGACATGATGCTATGCTCATCGAATTGACACTGTCCGGAGAAAGAGCCGACGGTAGATCCTGAAAATCGTATCCTTTAGAGTTTATACTTGATAGCGGAGAACACAAATGACAAGCATACTCCTTCAGATTAGTGTAGAAATGGCAACCTCTTATCCATGTCAAGATTTCTAAGTTTTGGAGTGCTTTGGGCTCTTGCGTGCACACGAGCACATCTCCACCATGCTGGGCTTGAGAGCCTGTGGATGGCCTCTTGCAAATGTTACTAGGATTTGAGAGTTTCAGGCATACATTTGGGCTGGAGTGGCACATGTTTCAACTAGGAAGGAGCTGTAAGACATGCCGCATGTTCCTTGTGAAATCAATGGTCTCCACGGCAGTTGCAAGGCAAGTGCTCGAATGATGGCTTCGGTTTGCACTGAAGCTTTAAAACACTCAACAAAAGACACAAAAGTATCTTTTTCAAGCCTATGCCCTTTATGGATATGCTTTAAAGACTGGGTTCGCTATTGGCTTTGTCAGTGCAGCGCCGGTGCACGCTCCACCGTGCCTATCCAACAGCCCATTCGCCCTCTGGGGTCACTTAAGCCGTTCGTTTTTTTGCAAGCAGGCTAAATCAGTTTGCTAAAGTGCGACGAAATTTCATATTAATACCTGAATGTGTGCACTGAAGCTGTACAGTTCAACTCAGAATGAAGTCTTTCTTGGTTGTTGCTGCGGCTCTGGTGGCCTCGTCGCCAGTGGCCTGCTTTGCAAAAACAATCATGGACTACCTTCGCACCGACGACAGGCTGTACGAAGCCAAGGCAATCGCAGAAGAAGCAGGTATTTTGGATGACGTGGACCCAAGCCGTTTTGGAACACAATTAACATTGATGCTCCCGTCAAATGAGGCTTTTGACCAGCTCAACGCTGACCGTCCGAAGTGGCGCCAAGCACTCATTAACAACAAGCAGAACGTTGAGACTGTACGCCAGTCAATAGTAGCGAGTTTCTAATGCAAGCTTCTTCAAGCCGCTGCCCCCAAAGACCCGATTGTGCATTGTCAGTTGTATTGTCGGCTGTACTATGGAAAAGCCTGTGCTGGTCTGTGCTTTCTTACAGCTCATCCTTTTCGCGGCAAGTGATATGGTGGTTACTCCGGCATCTATCCGCAGCGGCAAGTGGGAGGCGGAAGGCTCCATCGTTTCACTGTTGTCTGAGACCGCCAGCATCGCGTCCGATGGCTATGTAAGGAAGTGAATATAACAGTCCGCAGATTTTTGATAGCAAGCAGAGTGGCAAAAAGGCATTCAATAAAAGCTGTTCCACTTTCGTGGTTTGTGCCTTCAGGTGTGCGTCAGCGACTACACCAGAACTGCCTCGTGCGACGACCCTGATAGCTTGCCATGCTGCGCAATGATCGACCTCGACAACGTGATGAAAGCTGATGACGGATACATTTACCTAATAGACGCTGTTATGATGCCTCAAGAGATTGTTGACAAACTGCCGTGAATTTTCTGTCCCTTTAAGCAGCGTCACCTATGCGTTGTTTGCTTTGTTGGCACAATCAATAAACCAGAAGCGGAAGGTGTGGACGCGTACAAGCGCGCTACTATTACTGGTTTACCTGTAACTAAAGTTAGCTTTTCAAAAAGTAAGCACAAGAAAACCAAAACTTAAAAAATTCTACCAGAAGGGGATTTTTGGTTACGTTGCATACACAAAACAGCGTTAGAATTGTGCAGACGCATTCAAACTGCCATTTTATTTGGCCAACCCATAGGGGCTACGGCCTTACTAAAGTCAATTCACACAAAACTAGCGCCAGAAGTGTACACCTATTGTGAATCCCTCCCCAGATGCTGGATTCGATTGATGCGGGCGAGAAACGGAATTTTCTGTATGAAGGCAGCTGTTTGTTCGGCAGCTGCACTCCTGGTTCTCACAACAACAAAACGAGAGTTGCTGGCCACTTTCTCCAGTGTGTCCGTTTCAGGATCGATCGGTAGTGGATCGTCACATGAGAAAGGTACCCGCGGATTTGTGACAAGACACGACTGTGCACTTGAAACCTTACTCCAGCCGATGGCTTTTTCAATCAGACTTCGAAGAGGGCTTTTGGCAGCATCTAATTCGATAGTGTAGGAATGAAAAGCTTTTCTGCCTCCTTTGAAGGTCTGTTGAAGCTGAGAACAGAACCATGGAACACGCACAAAGAAGACAATGATGCGAGAAGTTGAACAACTAAGTAAATTGATAGTGGGCTTTACTACTACAGTTGGTAAACAATTTTGTGCCCAGGACTTACCGGAGGCTCATGGAAAAGATATTCGACCTCAAATTCCTGTAGAGAAAATCAAACAACCGCAGTTACATGAATAGAGTACTGGCCAGAAAAGCAGCCGCCGGGTTGGAACAGCCCATAGCTAGCATATGCATGTTGTTAGCTTACTCCTGGCCTGATGGTTGGGATCAATGCCTGGAACTGAAGAGAAAAGCGTAGCACAGGACAAGCTTGTTTCAGTGATTCTATAGCGGTAGGAAAAACTTTTGTGCTCGTGCCTACATGCTGAGACAAAGACTATTCTTACGTTCGGGTCCAAACGAAGCACGACAAGGCAGTTTTTGCCTTCTGGAACTGGAATTTGTCCCAGTTCTGTGCTCATGACTACATAATAAGGGAATTCTGTTTTTGGGATACACCCTTCAGGTGTCTGAGTTCCCCAGAATGCTCTGCACCATGAGTGTATTGGTGATACTAGATTCCGAAGGAAGACCCTCAGCGGCTGAGAGCGGACATCGCCTAAGTTTATGCGCTCCCCTCTCGGTCCTTGGATGAAAAATCCAGGAACATTGCTTGCCTGAACACACAAAGCATGTAAAAATAAATTCGAGTAAAAAGTAACATATTAAGTGTTGTTGAGCACACCACTCGACAACAGATGCCTCGAATATGAACTCACAGGGCTTCCAGGAAGTGTGCCCCAGGTCTTTTCTGTTGGTAGCATCATGCCTGCAGGGGATTGTGGTGAAGGTGGCCGGCTGCCCATCTGCATGGGAGCGTGTGAGCCGATGGCCTAACAAAAAAGAGCAACGGACTAGCATGCCCTTATATTATTTCAGCTGAAAAGAAGGTCTTAAACTGACAAGATGACATTTGCCTAATGGTGCGAAGCGAATGCGAAGCGCACTGACCTGGACACTCATTGACACATGCTTAATGTGTTCTTGTTGAGCCTCCTTTGGAACAAGTGCCCACAGAGTAAGGTTTGACAACATCTGCTCCACATTTTCCGTCGGCCCCAGAGGAGTTTCGACAGAGAAAGTGCTTCCATCGTGCTTTGTAAAAGTCGTTTGGAGTGTCAATTGCTGATGCGGGATGTTGGCTTCTTGTAACATTCGCCCTAGCTGCTGCCCCATTTGCCTCAAAATACTGTTGATGCTACTTTTGTCCGTGGAACTTATATAGCGCAACGGGACTTTTACACTTTGACCTAAAATGCCAAGGTCGACAGCGCCATCTTCCACCTGCGACCCAGACGTATGTTACGCAAAGAATTACATACCAAGTCTTTCTTTAGATTACGTACTTGGGCAGCTACTTGGTTTCGACATATCTTATAAAAGAAGAGCGCTTACTGTTATTCTTCCTTCGGGCTGCGCAAAAACAGCAAAAGCAGTTACACAGACCTTTAAATGCCTGGTAGATGTACGTGGGTATATGTACAGTAATGGACTTGGTGCCTTCTAAACAGCTGTTGTGCGATGAAAACGTACTTTTGATGCAATCTTAATGTCTGCAATTGACTGGAGAGCAATATTAAGATGCTCCAAAAGCCTGCTAACTGTCTTGTTCTTGTCAACAGGCGTTATGGGCACCGTTACTCTTCTCGACGCTGGGCCTGCTCCGGTAAAGACGACTAAGTAAGATCCATCAGGAACGTTTCCAACAGGGGTGTTTAGAAGCGCGTCAATGGCGGCATTAGGATGCTGTAAAGGATGCATAAATAACCGAACCAGAAACCTTATTTTAATTTTTGGCAGCAACCACTATATAGTAAGCTACGTTCGCGTTTCGTCGTGTTACCATAAACACGCGTTTGGGCTGAACGAATTATCTTGTTTATTGGTACTCACTTTGAAGGCTGGGGCTTCCAACGCCTGAAAAATATAAGATGCAAAGAGAACAAGTACATAGCGCTTAACAGATGAACGCTGAGTTTTAGAGTTAGCGATTGTGATCTTCAAAGCCAAGCTTCAATAAAATTTAGGTTACTCCAGTTGACGCACCTGTGTATCAATGCGAATCGTTTGCCCGGGGGCAACTCTGCTGACTTGCTTCAACGAGTTGAGAAAGGAGAGCACCAAATTCATCCCGGGATTTCCATGCATTTCCGCTACTTCTTGTAAGAGACGCATTAGGTCTGCAGGAACCAGCTGAGTTGCGGACTCTCCACTTGGACCAGTTATGTTGAACTTGAAGTCTGTTGGTGGTTGTCCCTTTCCGGGAACCTGGATGTTTAAGATCTTGGCGAAGTCGACCGGAGAGCCCGGCGACTCATCATAAACCGTCCCGTTCACCACGAAATTCTGTTTGCAGGTCGTAATAACATGCACCGCAGAGTGGCAGGCAGTGGACAGAAAAGCTTATGCTTTCATGTAAGTGTCTGCTTCCTGTCACGGTAATTCTAGAGCTTACCATTCGTTGGTCAGCAGGAATTTTTCGAGGAGTGTATCCAGGGGCAGGTTGTCCCTGAATCGCGCTCGCATAGGAAATGTTGTACCTCTGGTGCCAGAGAAACTGTGAGAAAACAAAGTGTTGAACTCAAAACATAAATCGAGGTCAGAAAACAACGTACGATGAAAACAATTGAATGAGAGTCGTCGAGATCAACAGCACCAGTAAGTCCTAAGATACTGCCGAGAGTATGTCCAAGAAGCTGTGCAGCGCTAAGGACTCCTCTATAAGCAGTGCCGTCAACGACGACGGTGATGTGTATTGTCTCGGGATTGTTCAGCCCAAGAGCTTTTTCGAGCCATTCAACGATTTCGCCAAAGGAAGCGTCTAAACGCTCTTCTGTCTTTGTGAGGGGAACACTTGTTCCTGCCAACGCAGTAATCTGCGGCGAAAGCACAGTGAGATGGCAAAAACAATGGATGCAGAATGCGACGTCAAAAGCATGCTTTCAGTCGTGCAGATGCAAACTCTACAGTGTTACAAGTGGCAACAGCGGATATGAAAAACCCACAGAATGCGTCGGTCTTGGCTTTTGATGCTGAAAAATATGCGCATACACAAGCCAAGCGAAATAAGTCAGACTGGGACTTTGACATTATCGAGCTGAGTGCAAATATTTTCACGTCTTACTCACCAAGGTAATGTGCGGATTATGAAGCATTTCGATGACGTTTTTCATTGGCAATGTGTCAGGGACAGCTCCATGAGAAAGTGAAACAGTTGTGCCAAAGTTTGTAGGGCGTCCGTCACTTCCCAGCGTTTCTGGGTGGAACATCTCAAAATCCAACCGAGGTCTAGCGGCCCCAGGAGGAGGTGGACCCCCTATCCTGATGTTAGTGGCTGGGATTTTTATTCCCGTTGGACCCTCAGCATCTGTAGTAATCTTCGTAACGAATTGAGAAAATGGTGTACTGCCGTCCATGTTGAGCTGAGCCAACAAATCTGAGAGTGTTCCCATGTCAACGTCCTGAATAACGCACGGACAGAGCGGTATTAACCATGTAGGCAACAATTTTGCGAGTAGAAAGCTAGCTGTGAGCCGGAATTGGGGCCTACTTACTCCGTAATGTCCTTGAGGCTTTTTGATTATCTGTACATCAACGTCAGAAGCACAAACATGAACGCAGTATAATCCAGCGGCTGATGCAGCAATTCAACAGATCAACACTGCTGGGAAGGCACTGAAGATATGCGCTTACCGTGATGGTGATTCCCATAAGACCTGGAATTTGCGGAGCCGGCATATTTTTCCATTCTTCTGGAATCTGTGTAAAGTTCCATCGTGATCCATCGCTAAGCTCAAGAAAAGTCTCTAACGTTACACCAGGTTGCTGGCTTGCCAAAAGGTTGTTTATAACAAACCCTAAAGGCTCCACTGTGAAAATGTCTTCTGGAGTGGCGCCACGGTGCGAGCTGATGAAGGAGGTTTTCAAAGCTTCTGGCATGACAATTTTTATCTGAGTCAGAGATACATTGAATTGAGTCAAATCATGCTATGAATGCAGTAGGCGTAAAATCCTGATCAAGATACAGTGCTTCACGCTTGGAACGCTGAGGGGATGGATGGATGTCAAGAACTTACTGGAGGAAGAAAGTAGACGGACTGCAGAAACAACTCAGCACACACAAACGCATATCTAGCTAGACTAGTTTTGCTATTAGATTTCATCTTGTTATAGCGATGTCGTAGTGAAGAGTCAAAAATTGTGTACGCAAGCCCACCTGTACAACGCCGACAATCTCTGTAGGCCGAACGCCTTTGAAGGTTGCAGAGCAAAATCTAGCGAGCTCTACCCAAGATCCAAGACCCTGCAGCATCTGCTGAGTCAGAACGCAGTGGTTTGTGCCGGCGAACGTGAAAGCCATTTGATCCTCTGGATGGCCTCCTTGTAGAACCTGCTCTATGTATTTCATGGGGTTGTCATCCCAAGGGGCGGTGAAGTAGTGAGGTCTTTGCATGCGATCAATCAAAATGACCTGGGGAAATGCAACATTGACATGGTCATGTAAGAGCTTGTGACAGACCTGAATTTGAAAGGCGTGGTCCTTATGTCTGATTTGCAAATAGCGAGTGTTTACAACTTACCGGCACTGCAGGCCTCGCTGGGGCGTAATTAGGAGTTGTCCCCTGCAAAAAAAGAGCAGGTTAGTAGCATATTAAAATATGCATAGCAATAATGCTGTCCAATCCGCGAAAAAGTACTGTAGCAAGGGGCGCTGTTAGAATCAGTTGAAGGGGACTTACAGGGCTGAACGCTGAGACTAGAATGTCTCCATCTAGCACTTCAATAGGAATACCACAAAGCCTTGCGGCTTCTTCCTTTTTCTTCAAGTTCAGGAATTGTTGAAGCGTGATCCCTGGGCAATAGTAGTACTTTCCATTGCCTGCGGGGGCTTGGATGTATACGAGTTCGCCCTGTGGTGGTGGCGGCTTGCTCAGGTTAAAAACAAGATTGAAGTTGTCATGCAAGTCTGGCAAGTGAGAAAAGCCTGGGATTTCCACAGTTTGGTGCAAGGGATTGAAAAAGGCCTTTCCGCTCTCCTCTTGGTCAGGGTCTGGAAAAACATTGAATTCGGCTGTTGTGCCGCGAGGTGTTGTACCTGTTCCTGGCTCCATCATTGTTCCCCACCGTTGTGGGTCTTGACCAAAATAGTTAATACTTGTCTCACTGTATCCACCAGGGTTCGGCATTCTTTGTACATACGTGGCTCCAGGAACATTAGCTCCAGGTTGCTGAACCATATTAAAATATACGTCATTTGGCATAATTCCAGAAAGCGGTGATCCTGGGCGCCTAAACGTGAACCCAAGGGGCATTTCATTCTGGAAGAAGACAACTGGCGTTCCCTGTATGAGACGACACGCATCAGACTCAGAGATGAAATCGAACTTAGTTTGCAGGCAACAAGCCTTACACATTCATATTAAGCTTTAGCTGAGAAAAACAGCAGGAAGCAGCATTAAAGTACCGGTTGAGATGTCGGGTACATCGCTGTTTGAGAACCCTCGATCCAGACAAATGGGGAAGATAAGCCTTGCAAGTCATTAAAAGTGAGGTTGCACCAATGGAGTGCTGTTCCCCAAGTTAGGTTCCTAAAGTCTTCTGAAGTGCGTATACCGCAAGGACTGCCGCTAACTTGCTTTGTAGAGCTGTACAAACTGTAGGACAAGGAGTACTCGCCATTTGGTAATTCTATGTTCACGGGTCTGTTGGGATTTGCTTTGGCAGAAATATTGCGGGAAACCCTTGCGCCATTGGCCCTTGCTATATCGATCTGAAAAGAAACAGTCAAATGCTTGCAATGCCTGAATCGCCGTCCGAAAAACACATTAACTAGCACTTTGCAACGCTGAAAAAATTATTTTTAGGAAGAGTAGCTGGTCGGGGTTTGTGGGTAGCGCACCGTTATAACTCCTTCTCTCTGCAAACACCAGACACAAAAAATGCTTATTACATGTATATATATATATATTTACAAACAGATTACGCCTTATAAGCTGTCTACTGTAAGTATGCTTAATTTATGGCAGTCTGAGATAGGCTGGCTGTAAAACCTACCAGCAACACCTTGTCTTGATCAGTTGGCTGCATAAAAAAACAAAACAAAAATGAGATTCATAAGGAATTCGGGAGCGACTTGATAGTTCATTGATGAAATGGTGAAAATAAAGGGGGCTCACTTCATGGAAGATTAGAATACTTAACCTTCCAGTAAGTCTTGCAATGTCGTCCGCTGGAACCCCCAATACTGCCAACATTTCTCTGACGAGAGCAGCATCCCGAGGTTTGTCACTCTGCAGAAGATCTCTAATATGACGAATTTGCTCTGGCGTCATTGTGCCGCTGTGCTTGGCGAACTTCCAATTAATTTTCGTTTCGTCATACACATTTGCAAAAGCGACTGTCAGGCGCTCTAGATATCTCCTATTCTTTTCAGGGTCTCCGTGTGCGCGGTTCCACAGGCGAAATCCCTGAGCCAGAAATCACACCGAATGATACAACTTGAGCCAAAGTTGCAGCTGCTCTTTTGTTGCAGCTTGCGAGCGGCAATAAATCCCAAAGGCAATCGATGCACAAGGATGTAAACATACTGTAGGTGGCGGTGATTTTATTCCGAGCTCAAAGGAAAACGGCTGCCTGTTTGTTGTTGCTCTTTGTAGCCCTGGGCAGATCTTGAGCAGCTCTTCCAAATGGTTGATAAGCTCTAGAAGTTCTCCAAATGTGCTAACTTGGCATTTGCTCTTCCTGTTTCCGCGATCTTTTTCCTTATCGTTGCGTACAACAAGTTGGATTTTCGTGTTAGCTAAGGGTCCGAATCCTCGTGTGCGTGACAACCAAGGGCCCAATAAGTTTCTCCAATTCAATGGATCGGCAACCTAAGAACAATTACAAACCACTAGGCGAATTTCGCATTGCCATGCCACCTGTGCTTGAAAGAAGAAAGCAAATATGTTTAACTTGGCTGCTGGCGTTCCTTTGTCTTACATTGACGGAAAAGAGAAGCGTTTTCTGTGAGAAACAAGGCAGCACAAACAGAAATATTCGTCAATACGAAATGAGCTGTAGTTCAAGCGAATAGTGCGCGGGAATAACGATTCCTCAAGCTAAGTGACACAGCCTAAAAAAATAACGTACCTCTCCTTCGATGGCCTCTGCCCTCTCCCTTCCCTTTGCCTCAGCTGCGGCCTTGATATCGGCTGCCGTACGCTTCCACTGAAAAACAACACAAAGGTAGCCATCTGTCGAGTCTCCGCTTTTCTTTAGCCACTTGCTGAGCGATGAATTAGTTTGGTTTAGTTCTCTGCTTACCGCAAACATGAATAGGCGAGCCTTGTCAGGAGCTATTTGCCGAACATTTTCGATAGAAACTCTTAGTTTTTCTCCTGAAGTAGTGATCAAGAAGATCAAATCCTTCTCGGTATATCCACCAAGCTCAGTGAGCACACGGGCAAGCTCACTGGGCTGGATGCCAATAGTACCATCTTTGCGCGAACAAACGGCCTGCAGTGCGACTTTAAGAATTGGCAGTTCCCCTTTTGCAGGATCTGTTACGACACGTGGATATCCTTCAAAGGTAAAGTAGCTTCGGGGAATTTTGTAGATTTTGGATAGTTGCGTTACGATGCTGCGCTTTCCTCCTATTGTCAGGCCTGTGCTGAAATCCGCGGGAATTGTGACATCAACGCCAGTATCCGAAGAAGATTCCTCGTTATCAACATCAAACTCAACCTTGACTTTAATCTGCACATGTAACAAATTTGGTCGTACTCGGATTTTTGCGCGGCTTTGAAAAGCTTTAATTTTTTCATCTATGTTTGTATTTTGTCTGTTGTTCACCTTAATTTGAGTAGCTGCTTTTTCTTCTTTTTTCTCCAACTTCACTTTATGCTTTATTCGCCTTTTTTCCTCCTTCCTTTCTTCCATTCCCTGAAAAAGGACGGTAGTCAAAATGAATTATGCATTCAAAGAAGGAGTTTGCTGCCGACAAGTACTACACGAGCCATGGAAACCTTATACAACGCTCACCAGCACACGAAATGAAATATCGTAGACGTTTGCAAAGTCCATTGCTGCAGCTTCAGGCGACTGGCGGGTGGCATGGTGGAAAACTTTCCAAAATTCATCAGAGAGCCTTAGTTCCGGATCTTTGATAGGCACGCGTAAATCTCTTTCCACCCCTTTTTCTCCCAAATAAAAGAATGTGAGGGCTGACGGAACTGCCCACTTTGTTTCCTTTGCCAGAATCATCTTTATTTGGCGCCTTAGTCGCTGAATTTCATCATAATCTTCTGCCGTCTTGTTCGGCTTTGCTCTGACAGCTTCGATTTGAGATTTAATCTTCGTGATCTCCGCCTGTGAAATAGCTGGGTCCGGCAAGTTTAATTGTGCTAGCAAGTCGGGCCTTGTCGACGCAACGTGTTTCCTCATGAGCGCCAGCAGGTCACGAAGCCTGACTGGGCGAACAAGATCAGCTCCTCTCAAAGTTTGTTCCATGAAACGCTGTACCTCATCAACGCTTGTACTCTTCATCTGCGCCCAGCAAAACGGTCAAGCGAACAATCTGTGAGTATTCTACCTGGGCCAGCCAAGGTACATGAGAGAGGCAAGACTTCTACTTACATCAGCAGCGTTGCACTGTTTTTGCCAGCGTTCAGCGCGGTCGGAGATGCCTTTGATCTTCCCACAGAACACCGTGTGCATTGAAACAACAAGGCATTTGCCCTTTTCCACGTCCAGGCGATAACATGCTGTGACCTTGCCAAAAGGCGTCTCCAAAGTAATTTGCAACCCCTAGAGAGAGAACACGCAACGAAAATTAAGCAACTTTTGCGCAACATCGCTGAATCCTTGGAATTCTCCACTAGCGACCAATCGGCCCCAATCGAGCTACCTTCGAAGCCGAAGCTCACCTTACGACGCTGTTGGATAGCTTCTTTGACTCCTATGTAGACCGAGGAGTCCGGACGAAGAGTGATTGGGTTTCCATCACTGTCAAATAGAGACAATTTTGTTGTTTTTCTTTCAAACTGGGGATAACGATGGAAAAAGTTATCAGCAGCTGTCTCCCAAGTTTCCCCAGGACGAATGGGAACTGTGTGCGATTCTTGTCCCCCGCTGGGTGTTGTAACGACGAAATCCAATCCACCCTGTAAAATAGATCAGTGGACATACGCACATAGTCGTCAGTATCCCCTGAAATTGTGCTTCATGGAATCGTGGAGAATCGTGTAGACTCAAGAAAAGACGATTACTCTTCATGTACTTTTATGTTTCCTACCTCGACAAACATGTTCTTGATCGGTATGGTTAAAAGATGATACGGTACTTGGAAATCTTCAGGCTTTAGTGCCTTCCAATTTGGTGTGTGTAGAAGGGGCTTGAGAATATCTATCAGCCTCATCCTCTCGCCGCCTTCAACTTCAATTACAATCTTGTTGAATAGAGAGTTGCGATCTTCGGCAGGCATGCTTTCAAGATCTACTGGTAGTTGTAAATGAGGGATGTGCTGTCGAAGCCAAGTCTGTATGACGGTAAAAGGGCCTGTTAGGGCCGAAGTGCCTGGGCGCAGAGGCACGTTTACCGTTTCTCCTGTCACGTGTGCGCCAGTTCCATCAGTAAAAGTATCTCGACCGCCAAGTATTGGGAACTGCATTGTGCAAAAGGTAAGCGCATGCATTTTTTCAGATAAAAGGGTTACCACGAGACACGCGTGTATCCGAACTGTGCATTCCTGTTCTGTTTCGTGTCAACACGCCATACCTGCGGATGCCAGATAAGTTTCACTTTGGCAGGCGCCTGATGATACCATGCTTCTGGAATGAACCCTTCCGGTAGAGCACTTGCTTCCGGCTTCCCTGGAGACTGAACGTATGGAAATTCCATGGTTGGCACTTTGTACTTCCAGAAAGGTCTTTGAAAATCCTTTAGAAGATCCGGATATTTTTCGTTTATTTTGACCCTAGACGTCACTGTTTTGATGCTAGGTTTTCTTTCCCGACCTTCCTTGTCGAATTTAGGAATTTCCACGCTTCCTTTTAGCAAATGCTGCAAAGGACAAAAATGTGAGTAGCAGTAGATGGGAGCATTGCAAGAAACAAGATGGAAGACTGCCGGGCAAGAAGGGGAAAGGACATACCGTCGCACTAAAGTATAGGGCAAGCGCGTGGCCTCGCCTGTGCGCGTCAGTGAATATTGCCCCTAAGCGCTTGCATTCGGCTGAGGAACCCTTGAAGTTTAGCTCCTGCCTGTTCTCTGTCTTGAGTTCAGGCTGCATCTGCGTCACATTTGCCACTGCAGTAATCGTTTCGAATCGTAACCCTTTGGCATTGACAATATTGCATCCGGCAGGAGACTCCGCAGCTTGGCGAGCCTTCTTCAGAAGAGATTTGATGATGATTGTATTTCTTCTGGTGATTGAAATGTCGTATTGAAACATACACCAAGGCTGAATGCCTTCAGGGGTTTCCAAAATAAATATGGATTTGACTGAACGCGGCACACTTGCTCCAAAATTTAAGCTGATGTCATTGACCACAAATGCCGGGTTTTCAGTAGCAAGGTGTGCCAGTAAATGAAGAAGTGTTGGATACATTTCTACAAACTCTGCTACAAGTGGGTAGATCTTTCCGTTTATGGTAACGCTGAGTAATGCGCCATTTTTCTCAGGTTCCTTAGGAGCGAGAGCAGCGCGCAGGTCGAGATACCGCTTTTCAATTTTGTGCCATTCACGCACTGGGCTTATAACGTGAACTGCGGAGCTTCCTCCTGGGAAAACGATTTTCGCGCTTAGCTGCGGGAGACATAAAAACGCAAGACAAAAGATGAAGACCAGCGGAGAAAATCCAATTAGGGCTCTCGAGCGCATGAGAGGATGAAGGCAGTTTCACTCATGGGGCACTTACCGCTGGTGAGAATTGTCCTGCAACGTAGTCTGGAACCTTGTCGACAGGCGTAAGCCGGGTTCCAAAGAGTGACACGTTATCGCGTTGTTTGTTGGAACCAAATGGCTGGCCAGTATGATCATAAAAGAAAATTTGCGGAATTCCGGCGGTGTATTGAGGACCGAACAACCCTGTGATGTTGAGCTGCCCAGGGCTAACCCCTGTAGTTCCTGGTTGCCTCCCTTTTAGCCAGAGTTCATATTGTTGTTCGGGTGATAATTCGAACCATGAGGTTGGCACAGTGAACCTTTCCGTTTTGAGCCCCGGAATCTTTCCTGCGAAAGAGCTGATAGGAGTGTGCCCCTTAGCAGACTCGTCAACCAGAGCCCTAAGCTTCAACAGCAACGGCCATGTGAGGTTCTCGACGAAAGGGATCTCGATGATGGCCTGCACAAGAGAGGATACCTCAGAGTGGAATATAGAAGCGCACGCCGTGTAGCTAATCTTTAGTAGCCAAGTCTCTTCCCTCTTGTAGCAATAAAGGAAGCATGTAGCTTACGTTGCGCTCTAGTTCCCCAGACACGGGCAAGACCGGGTCTTTTCTTGCAGCAACCATATGAAGCCACTTCAGAGCTTGCTCCTCTCCTCTGACCTCACTTTTTTGTTTTTCCGCGCTAGTCAGTGTTAATCGTAAAATGTGAAAGGCATCCGCGTGTTTGAGGATCGGCGGATGGCAATTTGCCGCCAACCAGCCTTTAAAATCTGCAAGCTGCTTGAATTCTAGAACCATTGTCTTTGGAATGCTAGCGGTTACCGTGTCAACGATTTCCCTTGTGCCCACCACATGTTTAAAGGCCAGTGTTAATGCCACCTGGTTGGAAGTAACACAGACTACAAGTTCACCATATAAAGAAAACGCTCACAGCGGAACTTTGAAGACACTGTCGCAACAGTTGAACTGCACACAGTGACAGGAAAAAAGTACACTTACACTAGGCTTGCTCGCCGCCGCGTTGTAGCTTGATTCCAATTTCAGCTTCAGCTTCCCTGCTGTGGGCGAAATAGCCTCCCATATCAGATCAAAAACGGCCTCTGGATTTTTAGCGAGGTCAGATATGTCCTGAAGAAGCTTGGCCTTTTCTGCACTGGTGGTCGTGAGATTAAAAACAGCCAACACAGATCCGCCTTTAAAGGCTGCAACTTGCGTAACTTTGACTCCTTGAATAATAACAGAGCTAATTGCTAGTGTCACTCCCTTCAGAACAGTGGTGCCCTGTGCAAATTGCGATGCCTGTAAAATAAGATACAAAAAGTAGCAATCAAGTAATAGCTTTCATGCGACCAATCTATAAACAATTGGTAAGCACACAAATGCCTGCACCTGCAATGCGAAGCACGGACAATGTGTGCACACATACCGAAGGTGCTTGTCGCTGTGTTGCAGCAATACTTCCTGTGAAAGTCTCAGGCGCTCCCCTGACGCTAGCTTGCGGAGAGGACGGCTGAGGTGTGCTGGCTGCATCTGGTGCGGCTGGCTGCTGTACTCCTCCTGCTTTGCCTTCCGTGCCAGCCTCTGCAGTAGTCTCTCCACGAGATGCAAGCAATGAGTCTTGTAACAGACTAATGCCTGGAAAAGTGGATTTCGATGCCAGCTGAGCCTCTCCCAACATGATTTCACGAATGTGCAGTGGTTCCAATGCCGAAGGCACGAAAGCCTGGCTTGTTGCCTTTGAACACATACACCGCAAGAACATAAATATTTGGAGCCTGTACAAACCTTAATTTGTCATGTAGTAGCTTCGAGTTCTGTGTCTAGTTAACGGTGCGGCCGCGTACCTGTGCATTTGATGTCGTTTGTGAGTCATTGTGTGTAGGGAGTGCTGAATAAATAATACAGCGCAATGCGCATCAGTTACAGGCTTCGACACCAGAGAGAACAGTATTTTTAACGGTGTTTAGGATGTTCGCTAGCAAGGTGGCTTGCGCAGCTACAAATAAATGGCTGTGTAGGTTGGTAACTCGCTTACCGTTTTCAAGTTGAGCCGTTGCTGGTGAGACTAATGCCACGAAAACTCCAAATAGCCCTAGAAGTGAAACCATCCTTTGGAACACGTGGTGGCGTTGTGCCCGCGCCGCGGGAAACTTCCCTGCGGTGGAGAGGCAGTGTGAACGGCACTTGAACGCCGCACCGGAATGGGGGGATATAATTGTATTTGGGAGGCTCTTAACCCCCTCACATTGCCAAGCCATCCGAAAGAGTTATTGGAAGTGTTGACTGGGCTCTTGGGTTTCCGACGTCCAGTCGGACAGCCGTAAAAGCTGCTTGGTATTTCAGGGCAACCTTGATCCGCGTACAAAACTTGCTGTGTCAACTCTAGACAGCAAGCTTGGACTTGCTTAAATTTCAGATCGAGACGAAAAATCAGTCCAGATGAAAGAAGGCCTTCTGTCTGGTGAAGCTAAGCAACAAGCTCACCGTCGTCTTGCAGCTCGTTGACTTTCCCCGTTGATAAAGATGGCTCTCCTCGCAACAACTCTTTGCAAGTGGCTGCAACCTTAGAACAGCCACGGAAACTGCTAAAACAAAGTTCACTTAAAAATATATTAGTATACTTCAAGAAGACGAAACAGCCACGGAAAGCCTGATCACTCTGACGCTGTTGGCTTGCGAAGTCCCCAAGTCCGGTGGCCGCACAACTTTGGCGTGAAACACATTCACAGTAGCCCACCAAATAATCTACTAGACCCAAATATATGACATGGTTTTCAAAGAATACAATGTTGCGGACAGGAGGCTCGCTGGTTTGTAGCCAACCTGCAATGCGGTAGCCGCGCTGGGGCCCCTGGGCCGATGGTTTTAGACAGCGGACCTGCCGGGTCCCCGTCGCTCCGATTTCCAGCCGTCGATTGAACCGCAGTGACTTCGGAATACGTTGACTAAAACATAAAATTGTACACGACTTTTAGATGGTCCAAGTAAAAGCTAGTAATGTGCGCGATATTTTTGTTGAAATCCCTTTCGCTCAACGGTGCAAGACAATGGTGGCGAACGGGCACGCCGGCAAGCAAAACCGATCTTTCGGCTTCAGAAGCCTCAAGAATAATCAAAAACATACTACTACTGACTGGCTACATAGAAGTGAAGGTTTACTGGAACGTAGACATGATTGAGGACAGACCGTGCAAGCCATTTTCGCACATGGCGTCCAGTTGGAATGACAGAGTTCAGACTTGCCTGTGTCGGAGAAGATCTACAAAACTTTCCCTTTTCATTAGTTGAAAAGTTACTTATTTTGGTTCAGATTCCTGTCAAGTGGGACTTTTATTGACGGGCTAGCTCTTTTGGCAGATCGCCCTGCTGGCCAGCGTCCTATCTTTCAGGGTGACGCGATGCACAGAGGGACCGATTAAGCTAAGGTAGTGAGCAAAGCTATATCGAAAATCTAAAACAGTAAGAAATCAGGAAACTTAGGCAATTCCATCGAAACGCTTGTGGAAGACGTGTACCTGGGCAGTGCGATGCTGGGCTAACCGCCTGTCAGGGAGCACTAATGGAGAGCTCAAACTACGAAACATGTCGAGCTCTTCCATTCAGGCACGTGAAAAAGGATTTTTCAGCTTTATATCTGTTTTCCAAAAGTATGTCTAGCACAGCTTCCAGACGTCATACAGGTGTTACGTTGCTTGCTAGCTCAGCTGACTGTTCCCTGGACAAAGGCGCCAAAAGACCATATTTGTGTAGAAAGGCACCTTTTGCTCACAGACAACAATCAGAATACAATTACTCAGGCCATTTTTTCAATGCTGCCAGAGAGTTGCTGGTTACTTACCAGCTCCCACAGCCTAAAGGTCGCTGTTCCCATGTTGCAGCGACGCAACTTCAGTGCATCAGCAGGTAATCGTATATTGGCCGTGCAGTTAACCATACATATGAAGCGCACAGCCTTTTTTCAAGTGGCAGAATGACGAGTTATGGCGATAACAAGCCCCACACTCCCTAAAGATTTCATTGGTCAAATTGAGGCCCGATACCCTTTGCAGCCTGCTCTTTCTCCAGTGCTGTACCCTCACAGTCGCCCCCATCCCACCTGCTGGGTTTGTTGTAACAATTAGGATCGCAGTGCCCATCTCCAATCCACTCTTTGGCACAAAATTGGTACACCGCCTCAGGTTTTACAGAGTAATCTACCTCGACTACTGCAGTAACGTTGTCGCAGTCCCCAGAGTCGTAGCCGCACGCGATGTTGTTGCACTGGCTATCGCAGACGCCATTACCAATCATCCATAACCGGCACGAAGAGTCACAGACTTTAGTGCTCCCATTTTTCTTACGAATGGCTTGCATAGAGGCATTCGTCTTGCTGTCGCAGTCGCCTTTGTCGTGACCGCATTCGGGATTATCGCATTCGCGATCACAGTCTCCATCGCCCAGCCAGGACTTCGAGCAGTTAGCATTACACATATCAAGGCATTCGCCGCCATCGAAGAGGCACTCAGGGACATTGCATTCTGGTGTACACGATCCATTGACGAGTAACCTGCGTTCACATTTGCATTTTGGAAGTTGAAGTCGGTGCTGCTTCAGCATTTTTTGCTTTTGCTGCAAAGCTCTGCGTTCCAGAGGCTGGACTCCTTGATCTTTCCACGCTGCGCAGTCGCCTGCGTCCCAGTTGCATGCAGCTACGTAGCATGCGGCATCACACAGCCCGTCACCTTGCCATGAGGGCTTACAGTCTCCCGAACACCATCCCGTGCAATCCCCTTCATCGAAGTTGCAAGCCTCCGTGTTGCAAAAAGTGTCGCACCAGCCATCTTTCAGCCACTCTTTCCTGCATCCCGGGCTGCACGCAGCACCTCCTTTATTGTCTTCCTTGTCGACCCTGCTCTGGGGATTCTCCTCATCATTTTGCTGTGGAGGATTTGCGGCATTCAAATCGCGAGCAGCAGCATTGCTTTGACCCTCCTCGATCACTCCTTGAGCCCGTTCCTTCTCTGTTGAAGAGTCCTCACTCAGGAGTCCGACGTTCAAGCTCGTCTGGGTTTTGTCCTGTCAACTCACAAGAAATGGCAGCTGCATTAGATTTAACACCAAAGCTCCGGCTGTTTGCACAATAAATTGTGTGTTTCAAGGTGTAAGCCAAATATACTCAATCCGTGACTTTCACCGTGTTTCAGGCATTCCTAGAAGCTGAAATTGTTGTTTCCCATATATGGTAACAACTCTTCCTAGTTACACTTTATCGAGAGGTTGTTCCCCACCGTGGAGTTATCGGCTCCCTCGCCTGTAGTGGATGAAGTCGACGACGCAGGCCTTTGACGTAGCCCTGGCACTCTTTCTCCGAGTAAGCCCCCTGCTGGTGCTGCTGAAGTGCAGTGTTCTGTCCATTGATAACACACTGAGCAGACTTCATGCATGTGGCGCCACTTAATCGGTAGGGCGTATAGTTATCACACACATTATGCTGCTATATCGGAAGGGCGTATAGTAGTCAAGATGCTCAGTTTAGCGTGCGGAAATAGTATGCCGCAACGGCCACGTACACACAAGGCCATGTTCTTGAAGGTACATGTGCAGTTGAGGACATCTCTGCGGGCATTATTTTACTGTGTGGTACTACAGGCGCTGAATTCGTAGTAGGTGAGAGATTCTTGGTGAGAGATCCTTGCCTTTTAAATTCGTCAAGAGTAGCCACAGCAGCAGCGCTGGTAAATAGACACTCCAGCGCATTTTCCCAGCTAGTAGTACTTCTTCGTCAGGGCTCTGTGCCAGTCATTAACAATGAAGGATGACAGAAACGTGAAGCGTTTGCCGCTGGATTCGCCGAAAGCTGATAGAGCGCCGTTGCTTTTCTTATCTGCCACTATTTGAGTCAGTGTTCATTGGTCATGTCTTTTAAATAGGAACAGGGACTTTAGTAAAAAGGATTTCTGCGCAGGGAAGTCCAACACATTGAAGCAAAGGTGAACGATGCGATGTTCACCTGGTGGGGCGCAATGCGGGGCTCGCTGTTTCGCCGTCAGCGGTAAAAACGAATCTCGCCAAACACCCTAAATGGTCGAAAGGTGAAGCGAGAGTATTTGCTCCGTCGTGTCTGCAGCAGGAAAGATGATCTGCGACGAATAGCATAGCCGACTATATGCTTCTGTTGGTTGTACCAGGGGCGGGCAGAGAGACTTCGAAGTTTTGGGCAGCTAATGGAGTTTCTCTAAGTATTAGCAGCAAGAAACCAATATAATGCTGCAGCGTATGCCTTTGGAATAAAAGCTACAAAATTTACGCCGCATTTTTCGGTGTGGATCAGGCTTTGGTGCACGGTCCCAATGAGGGCGACCACGCGCCAAGCGATTGGTCCGCATGAAACACGTTACTATTGTGCTCCAACAGGGCTAAAAAGCCAATTAACTCATTTTGTACTTGATTTTCCCCTTTTTCAGTTCCAGTTTCAATGATAGAAAGGGTCCTTTTGTGGGCTATACCCACAGCACGAGAGCACTGGTCAAGATCGTATCTGTCAGCGCTGTTAACATTGCATTTCTCGTTCGTTGGTCATTCAGCTCAAGATGCTGGCCAGCATAAAGGCTGAAAAGCTGTTCTAGCATGTGTGCAGTTAGTGTGGATTGTTCTCGTTGTTAGCGGGAGGCACGGCAAGACACCCGCAGGCATGCTGTT